CGATACATCCTACCGGTCAAATGACATGGCACTATATAGCTACAGTCATGACAAATCTGGAATGTAATATATTGTCTTCTGTTTCGTAAATGTGTCATAACAGTCAGAATTAACGAGCACAAGGCGGACATCCGACTCCTTTAGCACGTCGATGGCGTGATGTCATCAATAGTAGCGTCATTATTACGCTTGGAACAAACCTCACTGTTTGTGAATCAAACATTTACATAACAAAGACGCGATGGTCATTCAATCTGATGAAGGGCTAAGCCCGAAAGTTTGTGGGTATTTATTATGTACGTTTCTTCTGGGAGTATTTATTGACGGACATTTTACAAATATGCATCGTTTTATATTTAATAGCACTGTTTTACGATTCAACTGAATTCATTCTTCCCAAACACCACATTGGAACAAAGCAACATGACATTATGTCCTTCTGTAAAAATCACATATTTTCGTGAGACCCTAATTTCGTGGTTTACCCAAATTTTCACTATATTGTTGGTACATGAATATACGAAGAATTACTTTGTGTCAAACTTGTAACTACCTCGTGGGTCTTTGAATTCGTAGATGAAGAGTACCCACGAAACCTACGAATTTTAAACCCACACGAAAATTCCACAATATTTAATGTACCTTATGTATAATGTTTGTAAAATGCATAAATTAACATAAAACAAACATTGAAACCCATAACAAAAAGAAACAAGACACTCCGTGTTGACGCTGTAGTACGTTTTCTTATTCTATTCTTTTACCAAATGTTATAGATGCCATCGCATATGTTTGTCTAACGTTTATCTTTAAAAATGCAAGGTGGTAGACTCTGCTCGTGGATTTCTTAATCTCCAAAGTGTGCGGTTATAATTATCTCTTTTGAGTTGTGGCACGATTCATAATACAATATAGGACTTAACTTACAATTATTTTGAAATAAAACAGTACTTCTGTGTTTTGTTTTTTTTTTATATCACATAGAAATAAAAAAAAATGTGGTGTTTTATTCACCAGATTGATAAGACGAATTAGGATTTTCATCTTTTTGACCCCTAGCCTCACCGATGAGTCTTAGATAGACGAAACTATTACCAAAATGTAAAGTGTTTTACGTCCTTTTTAATTTACCTGTAGATACACAGTATCAATTAATGCACATACAAACGTTACATATCATATAAAAAACATTCCGGTGGCCAAATTGCATTATAGGTTTTCAAATGCATATGCACACAATGAAACGATTGATTGCCAAAATGTATATTTCCTTTTTCCCCCTCACAAACTTCGGATCGGAGGCGAAATCAGTTACCCTGGAAACATTTCTGTACCACGTCTAGTACACGTCATGATGTCTGCTGAACTGAAAGTTTTGTAACTAACAACAATACAGGACATGGTGTAGGGATTTATATATACATTTACAATCTGGTTTTTGTAATACATGTGTATGTCGCGCTTATCAGTAATGTATTGACTTTGTCGTTTCAGTGGCGGATCAATCATAGTTTCAAAAATAATTTTCCCCTTGAAATTTTCTTGCTGATGTTTAACGTAGTCAGCTAATTTCTACATCCTAGTTTATAAATCTTTAATAGATATGTGTGGATGTTTTTGGGATCTAGTCACTTAGTGTATAGGGTGAATACAAATATGTTTGAGTAGCTGTAGCTAGGTAACCGAAGGCTCTTAATACAAAATAAATAAAGGTATGTTTTTGTACTAAAATGACCCGTCGTTTTGAGGAAGTACTGTTACTTACAGTTGATGTCTGAATCCTTGTGAAAATAAATAAATGGGCAGAGGTCAGACAAGGCCACCAAAACAATTTTACTTGTCATTTAACATGTTTGTCTTAATAAAACTGCTGGACAATTAGCACGCTAGTCATGTAGGCCTTAGAACTCACTTGCAGCATGCGCCTGTCGTTTACGCTTCAGAGGACAAAGTTTATATTTTCTACAGTTGATAGCAGGTCAGCCTAGCAATCTATATATGTAAAATAGTCCTCCATTTGTCTCTAGAAAATTAATTGCTTTCAAAGGTCACAAACAAATCTGTTTTATAAGTTTACTTTTACATGAATTTGACAGGGAACTCATATGAAAAAGAATATTCAGCCTAGTTAAACGAGTGATGTATACTTTGAAAACATATGCCGGTTATTGTTTCCGCAGTTAATGGATGATTTTAAATTCCAAATCACAATAAAAATTACACTTATGAAAAAATGTCCCCTTTAAAATCACAAACTGATTACACAATAAGCCCGCTAGTATGGTTAATGACATTACTTTGTATCACATCCCTTAATTCCTGTTTTTGTCTTTAGAATCGACATCGACCTCCGGTTGTGTCCTTATGTGTTGTCAGTATCGCATAGAACGTTATATGCTTTTTATTTTAATTCTATAATAAGAAATTTCTTATTTCTTTCGTCGGATCTTGTATATTCAAATTCAGAATAATTTCCCTGCGTTAGGCCCCATATCTGAACGTATACAGTACCTGGTTACAGTACCTGGTTGCTACTTGTAGTCACGTTTTACTTAATGATCTTCATGTGACTTTGAATGAATCTCATTAAATATACAAACGTTTCGTTTCAGTGGTTTTCTATTGACGGCCCACTTTACCTGAGGATAAATATAGCCGAATAGGTATGATTAAAATTGTTCATAGCCCCTTATATGGCAGATTAATATTGAAATCGTGATGTGTTCTGCTATTACGCATGTTCAACCACGGACAATCATGTCACTGAAATTGTAAGGTATTAGAATGTACACACGACGCCGCTTTGTCAAAAGAACATGTGTCACCTTATTTATAAAGAGGACAATATGTGCCTACCCACTGGCCGTGTTAGTCTGAACTGTAATAGGTAGCTGAAATGGAAATGGTGTCATGTACTCCCCATGGCCTGACTTCTGATGATGAGATACCATGTCTTCCAAGGTTAAAGGGTTAAACTGGGTCTTAGACTGCATACTTTTGTGTTCTTTTTAATTGACCTGTAGATACATTCATAAATGTGTAAACATTGTTTTAGAAAAAAAGTATTAATTTGCTTCTTAGAATTTTGCTTTTCACAGACAGAATATGTCTAGGAACAAAAATACTTAACATATGTATTGTAACTTAGTTGTCATCACGTGGCCTACACTTATTATATACCGGTGTATCACTTATATGTATATGGAATCTACACAGAACCATACGATCTGGACTCGACATCGACAGGACAAAACCAGCAATAGACATAGCCAAAACATCAGAACTCGACATCGACAGTACAAAACCTGCAATAGACATAGACAAAACATCAGAACTCGACATCGACAGGACAAAACCAGCAATAGGCATAGACAAAACATCAGAACTCGACATCGACAGGAAATAACCAGCAATAGGCATAGACAAAACATCAGAACTCGACATCGACAGGACAAAACCTGCAATAGACATAGACAAAACATCAGAACTAGACACCGACAGGACAAAATCTGCAATAGGCATAGAAAATACATCAGAAGTCGACATCGACATGACAAAACCAGCAATAGGCATAGATAAAACATCAGCACTCGACATCGACAGGACAAAACCAGCAATAGGCATAGACAAAACATCAGAACAAAGAGAAAGACAACGTAAACCCCTCTAACACACTCTTATGAAGATGGACCAGTACCATCATTATGAGCTGGAAAATAAAACATACTAAAGGGTGTCATTCAAGCTGACGAAGTGTACGAACTCATATTATATTGTATAGCGATTCCATTTTAAAAAAAGGTATAAAATATTCATAAAGGGTGCTAGGTGGCAGAGGAATGGCAGAAATCGATAGTGACTGTCTACTAGATAAATGTACTGTACTAAGTACAATACGTTATCCGGCGCCATGGTGACGTCATGTGGCTCCTGTATATGTATGTATGTATCCACAAAGATATTTTTCGGAGCACATTGCCTATAAATCGTGAAATTTATTGTGAGATCCTTTACTTCAAATCGCCTAAGTAATAATAAAGCGAATTAATATATTATATTTATCTTTATAATTCATCGTGTTGTTGCATGTTTTATTGAGTTCGTAAACAGACGCCATTAGTGTTTTTTGTGTTCTAATCATAAAAGCAATTACAGTATTTTGAGACACTTAGCATCTCTGTTAAGAAGTTTGTGTGTAAGAACTGTTTGTATGCTACACAACATATGAAACAGCTGTATGGTACAATTAAATCACGTTTTTGGCATAATGTATTTATTGCCAAATTTTGTAGTTACAGTAACATGTGTATGTTCTAACGTTCATCTTTCAAGATACGAGGTGGTAGTATCTGCTGGTAGATTTTTTAGTCCCCGAGGTTTGTCGTAATCTTGATGGCCACAGTTGGCTCTTTGAAGCAGTGTTATTCATTTTTGGCATAATGTACCTATTACCTAATCTTATAGATGCAATTACATGTGGTACCTCACGTTCATTGCTAATATCAACGTATACATTTATATATAGATACTCTTTTCAGAGGAACGCCAAACAAGTATTTCAATTTCAGTATGATCACAGATGAGTAATGACGCCCAGAGTATGCAATTTAATAGCGCTGCCAATTGTAGGAATCATGATGACATTAACGTTATAGTAACAATATTATGTACCTCATTATTTCACCGGGGGATCGTAGTGCAAGGTACGAGTCCCTTTTATCGGAAGATACAATTTTAGAATTGATCTTGAAAAATTAAAGTCCATGCAAAGGTGGCATGTATCAGGTGAAAAAAAGAAATAGTATCAACTTATATATCAATGTTAAATTTTTGAATGAAGAGGAAATTTATTCTTTGCTGAAAATTACTATATATAAAAAGAATAAGATGATAAATAAAGATATATATATAGCTGAGTGTGTAAATAGCTGTTGACGTGTATAAAACACATTGATTAGCTTAGACTATAAATAGGCTGTACTCTGGTCGTCTCGAGAATCGCAGTATCTGTTTACTGTAAACGTGCATGAGATCATGTGAGCAGAGATATCGACGGAAGTCTGCCTATAAAAGGGAGACCAGTCCCGTCAAAACAAACACCTCAATATTTTGTCTCGCTGCGTCAGTGAACGTACAGACAAACATATTGCCTTCTTACAGTTGCAACAGCTTTGTTAAATCGTAATAATATTCACGTACAACATCAAAATGACTGAAAGTCAACCTCGCCAGAACTTCCATGTTGAAACCGAGGCTGGAATCAACCGCCAGATCAACCTGGAGCTTTATGCTAATTATTGCTACCAGTCCATGGTAAGTTGAATGTCAATCAAAGCAAACTGTTTTTTCTCGGAAAATAATTATTTTTCAGCTAGTATGCTTGCATTTTAAAACATCATAAGAATAATGTATATAGCACAACACACTATGTTGGTGTTATTATTTATCCTTTGTGTTATAAAAGATACATTTTCATATGACTATTTTTCATTTTTTTGTTCCAGTCCTTCTACTTCGACCGCGATGACGTAGCTTTGCCAGGGTTTGCCAAGTACTTTAAGACCAAGTCTGACGAAGAGCGTGAACATGCCGAGAAGTTCATGAAGTACCAGAACAAGAGAGGGGGTAGAATCGTCCTTCAGGACATCAAGGTCAGCACGTAATTCCTCTCAGAATGATATGAATATGAACTATGTTTTTTAAAGCCTATTACCATGGTTGATATATGTGTATGAGTATGCAGTAAGGATCATGTAACAAATATCTCAATAAAATAAAATATTTACATGTTTAAGTGTAAGTAAACCTATTTTAGAGTTTGAGAAAGTTGAGCTTTACCTGGCTATCATCTGTCAGCATTAATATATATGGACGGCTTGTTCATTTGTAGAAGCCTGACAGGGATGAGTGGGGATCTGGACTGGACGCTATGCAGGCAGCCCTGTCCTTAGAGAAGAACGTGAACCAGGCACTCCTTGACCTTCATGACGTCGGGGATAAACATGCTGACAAACAGGTGGGAAGTCATTAGTCAATTTCATTCACTTTGATTCTGGTTTATTTTGAAATAAGTATCACATGGAAGAAGCGTTTTTTTATTGTTTATTTCCATGCATTTATATGTTTTCAGATATACATTTTATTCTTACGACTTTTAGTATCATTTAGGACTCAAAAACCATGGGATGCAGCAAAACTTTACAGTCTTTGGTTTTTTTTGCATCGACATAATTTATTTAAATCCCATATGATTCCATATATATTTCAATAGTGACGACATTTATCATTATATATATTAAGAAATCTTCATATAACACCATTTTCAAAACGTTATTTTTAAGACGGAGTTGCGAGCACAACTTTATTTATTTAGTACTTGCATATTTCGCTAAAGTTTATTTGATCTGAATATAAATGTCCTGGACAATAAACATATATCATGAATGTATTCTACCTAACAGTTCATGGACTTCCTGGAGAGCGAGTACCTGGAGGAACAAGTGGAGGACATCAAGAAGATATCCGACCATATCACCAACTTGAAGCGCGTTGGCTCCGGCCTCGGGGAGTATATGTTCGACAAGAAATCCCTGGACTAAACAATTTGACAGAACAAAACTTAATAAAGACATCAATACGGGAGGTGTTCAAAGGAACTCTGGATCGAATCCCTACAGGAATGATTAAATACCGAAATATGTACAAAAATAAAGTGGAACTCAAGATTAAAGAAAACACAGTGGTTAGAAAAATATCCATTCACATAAATGCATCAGTAGAAAATATGAATTAAAAAATTAAAAAATAAAAAATGCAAGAAACTTTATTCCATTGTTTTGTTGTTTATATGAGGAGGACGGTAACTAGGTGTCCCCTGGTCCATTTTGTGGTTGTTTATATGAGGAGGACGGTAGCTAGGTGTCCCCTGGTCCATTGTTTTGTTGTTTATATGAGGAGGACGGTAACAAGGTGTCCCCTGGTCCATTGTTTTGTTGTTTATATGAAGAGGACGGTAACTAGGTGTCCCCTGGTCTATCTGTTATGTGTATGATTTACAGATCATATCCGTATAGCGATCCATATTTCTCTCTATTCTTCAATATTATATAACACCACATATAGAAGATAGTGGAGATTCGTCAAAGCTATTGTTTCTCTCTTACTGTGAGAAATGTTCACTCATTACATGTTCATAGGTTGGGAATCTTTTCGAGAATCTCTAGTACTTAGTAGATGTCGTGATTTTTTTAGATTTTTATCACCTAACATGGAAAATAATTCATTGAGTAACATCAGTCTATCATATTAATAATAATAATAATATACAGCATTTGATAAACCGCCCTATCTAGCTTACATAAGCCACTATACATCGCTTTACAGTACAAAGATATACAACTAATGCAATTGGCATATACAGTAATCAATACAATGTTGAGGAATTCGCAGGAGCTGCCTTATCACGGGCTCACTATTAGTCCTATGGCACCTGGCTAATATCTCCCTATGTGTGTATGCCTAAGTGTGTTCTGGAGATGTAATATGTTCTGTTTGTAGTGGACCGTGCTTCCAACGGCATAATTTATATTGCCACCTCACTTGAATGCTACAGCACAGGTACCGCAACATCCACCCCAGACAATTAATACTCCACCTGGGTTGTTGGAGTTGTGTCGGTAGGAGAACAACATTTTCGTTAATTATACATGCGTACGACGACTGCAGGGATCGGACCCCGGCCGCCTGAGTGGAAAACCGGAGTGTTAACCAGTCGACCAATTCGCCCATATTCAATGAACCTCATATAAAATATAAACGAATTTGAAATGTATCTTATCACCAAATATTTTTGAGGAAGTCTTTCACATCACGATACATGTATGTTGTCATAGGTTATCAGTTGTATTGATTATGACGCAATTAGGATAATGATATTACAGGAGGTAATGGGCAATATTTCAATACAAGTGCATTCACTGCCAAACGTGTTAAAAGTGTTTAAGACCACGGTTTCGTTCGAATGAAACATTCTGCTTCGTTCTAAAGCATCTGCAATTAATTAATTATAATTAGATAAAATACGATAACATGACAACATACACAGTGATTGGTTGTTCAAAGAGATAGCGATGTCAGACCATAAACAGGATAAAACATCGACAAACGTGTATTATAATTAAATCAATATGTTCATACACTTTAAAAAAAATACATTTGACAATAAAAAACAATATGAAGTAGACAAGGACATTTCCATATCTTCAGGATAGTTAATTTGTAAAATGAGTAAGTCTACTCTTCTCAGTTTAAGGATGTACTCCTCTTGGAAGTTAAAAAAATGTATTAGACTATCTATTTATATTGCTTTTTGGACAAAGGAGTTAATATGACAAAATAGAAAGAAAAAAATAACATGCCCGCTCGTTCGTTATTGTGCGATGATCGGTAAAAGATACCAATTTAATATTAAATGTGATTTTACGTCAATCTTGTTTTTACTCTATGCAGAACAAATTCACACAAAATCTAAAATAAGCGATATCAGAAATCTATGAATGTTCTACGGAAATATGGTATAAATTTCTTTGAACTTAAACCTTTGTTTTAGAAAAGCATTTTGAATGACCCAAACTTATATTTTAAATGAAAACGATGTTCATTTTTTCACCATTTCTTTTTTTGAAGATTTATCGGAGAGAGGTTTCAGTGTGGTTAATTTTTGCCAAATTATTTTTGTGTTATTTTTCACCTTTTGTGGGATCAAAATGAAAATAATCGAAACTTTTCCACTTTGTTGCATATTATTTTCATGACAATACATACTTTAAACTTGCACAGTCAAAAAGATGACTTTTTAGCATTCATAGAGTGCAAAAATATCCAACAATTTCCGGATATCCAAAAATGGCTGCTGAATTAGTTATTTATCAAACTTAGAAACAATAGGTAGCAAGATTTTCGACACATTTTTTCAGATGAATATTTGCATTCATAATTATATCCGTTACTTGCTGGTTCAGGGAACAAAGAAATAATACTTTTTTTCTCATTTCAAACTATAAAACTTTTTTTTACAAAGTATGAGATAACTAGGTAAAAGTTATGCGTCAGGTTGCTACCTCCCTCTCATGTTAGGATGATCTATACAGGTTTTTGTGGGGGAAACACCCTTTAACTCTAACCCATGTGTGATATGTTTCTACAATATTCTATATTTCATGTTTTTACAGTATATAAAATAGTTTTTAAGGTTTGTAAGTTTATCAAAAAGAGCTTTCACAGTTAAAACGAATGCTGTTATCTTTTATCATATATTTTTTTAGCATAGTTACTGCACATGGTAGAGAGGAATACATATAGATGAAGAGACAATTAACATAATCTATATTACATCTGCATGCATACAAAAAAATATGCACTAGTATCATGTACAGTTTTTGTTAGCTAAAACTGCCTCTGAAGCCGGTGTAGTACTTTTATAATACATCATCATCCTTATCACATGTTAAGTTTTCTAAGCTGACATAGCATCTGAAACTAGTGGAGTATTTTTATAATACCTCATTATTCTTGATAGGGAACATCCTGTTTGTATATCAATGTATAGGATTTTGCCCTCTGCTCTAGGGTTTATGTTTACTGCGTCTTACTTGCCATCAGCGCATGTTTACATCGTAGATTAATTCGTTCAAATGGTGATTTATCAATAAAAGATGCACCCGAGACACATACTTTTGGTTGCACCTAAAATATTTGATAATTTATACAGCATGTCCAAAAATAGCATTGTACAGCTGTTTCAATGAGAAGAAATAAAACGTAATATTGCTATTATTTCTTCTCTTTGCATTTTAAAACTCTTAACATAGATCCATATACAACATCTATTATGTTTTATTAGGCTTAACCATTTACGTGTTATAAATAGTCTACATAGTTTAAGTATATAAGTTAAAAGTCAACACAAAACTGAATAAGCCATAATTTATATGCTGTTTTTACTGCTGTTACAAGTAGATAGCCGGTATAAATTGTTATACCTGAATACCCGATGTATAAATACAGAACCAGACATGTTAAGAAGGTGTCGTTCAATCATTGCAATTCCCTGATATTGTTATAGGTTGTTGTGTAGGGGTCAGATATAAATAATGTGTTTGATAACCCAGAAACCTTGATGTGATTCACACTCGTGAAAATAAGTCATACAGTAACCCTTATGTATGCCATCCATAATCGCATCTCTGTCCGAGTTATAACAGGCATAACCTTGGGGATTTGGTATCTTTCTGTGCTCTTTGTTGTGAGGTCGTATATTTGCATTTAATCAAACACGCAAATTGATTGTTAAATCCTAAAACAAACTACTCTATGCGACTATAGTATTTCAAAATATGTAAAGCACATTTGTATCCGTCAACTTTTAATCTAATACGTTAAATGGCGTTAAACAATATGTATATGACCATTTTCAGCAAGTGAGTGTGGGATAAACTGTTTAAAATCACATGAATCACTTTAACAGGATAAACGTTCTTACTGTAACCACACTAAACAGACAGTTAGAAGTAGATGCGTTGGTGAATTCGCAAACAAGGCATTCCACTGTAAAATAACTTGAAGCATACTTAAAGTACGACATAATTAATTACAATAGTAATGTGTTTTATTTGTAGAATTGAGCAAAACTAAACAAATCCGGTAATTGATAGCCAGTTCTTAAGCTTATGATTTCAGTTCCTATTGTTATGTTTTTTAATTGTCTCTCTGTTTCTTGATTCCATACAACAATGATAAAGGTTTCTATGTTACTTATGACACATGGTAAATGATTTGTAGAACTTTCTGTTTAATCTGTTTCAATCCATTAACTGATCAACCGTCTGCAATTCCTCTGATTGAGAATTGATTTAAAGTGTCCCACATGTCATCCGATGTTTACCTAGACGATGTTGATGTCCCAATAGGTAACCTTACTGGACTGTGTGTTTCATGCGATACACATTTATTTACATAGCATACATAAATCGCGTTTATCTTCCTAGTTTGTATCATTGGACGTTCCAAAGTGTAAAATCAACGTGACTGGATTTGATAAGAGTGGGTCACGTGACACAACATAAGGCTATAAAAGAGCTTGCACTATTACAACAAACATACACTTCGATATTTTGTCTCGCTGCGTCAGTGAACGTACAGACAAACATATTGCCTTCTTACAACTTTACATCTTTGTAAACACCGTAACACCTACGACAAACTCAAAATGTCTGTAAGTCAACCTCGCCAGAACTTCAATGCCGAGAGCGAAGCTGGAATCAACCGCCAGATCAACCTGGAGCTTTACGCCTGCTATGCCTACCAGTCCATGGTAAGTAGACTATACATGTCAGAATATATGATAGAATTGTTAAGTAGCTAATCCTACAATTTATTTACGATTTATCACGTTTAGGCATTGAGCAATGATTCTATAATGAATACTGAATAGATCAAATAATGATTTATTCAGCATGCTCCGATATAATCAATGTAGGATGTCATATGTATATTTTCATTTATGATAAATAACTTCAAGTTTTAAGTTTTAATTACTTATTTCTAAAAATAAATTAGTGCATTTCTATAAACCATCCCCTCATTCACAGTCCTACTACTTCGACCGTGACGACGTCGCCCTGCCAGGGTTCGCCAAGTACTTCAAGAAGGCCTCAGATGAGGAGCGTGAACATGCCGAGAAGTTCATGAAGTACCAGAACAAAAGGGGAGGAAGAATTGTCCTTCAAGATGTCAAGGTCAGCACGTGTTACATTAAAGAATAGTAATAATTGTATCAATTAAATCTTATTATTTTTTGTTTTTAATCTGAGCGTTAAATTATTCATTACCACATGCAGGGTAAATGCGTGTAATGTCTTATCTCCTTCCACTCGATTACGTGTAATACTATTGATTTTATACCACACATACCTACTTACAGTAGCAGGGTTTTCTGTAACTGTCCATGAGGACTGGACATGTGTTACGTTCTGTGTACATACTTATGCACGTGATATTCAAATGTTTGATATCGCAGGTCAACACTACGTAAACAGACTGCAAAATGTGTTAATCGAAGATATCCTATGTAATTAGATTCTCCTGCTTTTTATTTCTCACTTGGATTTTAAAACTCTTAGTAGATTAAATACAGTTAAGTATACAATATCATATTTCTGAATATTATTGTCGTGAGATTCAGGGTGGGGTCCTTGATTTGATAGCTTTACAAAGGAAAGTACGTATATGACTTTACTACCTGAAGATTGATTGCTTTAGAAGAAAAAATAGCATAACATTTTCACTTGTCAGTGATCACTTTATATGTAGTATTCAATGAAACACAACATTCAATTTGTCCTTTTCAGTGTTAAGTCATGCCAACAATAAAATCTATAATATTTCAAATTGTATTCAGAAAGCAGACAGAGATGAGTGGGGAACTGGACTGGACGCCATGCAGGCGGCCTTGACCTTGGAGAAGCAAGTGAACCAGTCTCTACTTGACCTTCACGACGTTGGAGATAAACACGGAGACAAACAGGTATGTATTTATACTTGGGTGCTAAACCCGTACTGATTAGTAAGCAAAACAATATTGATTTGTAAGCTAAAAACAGTGTATAATCTTTTAAGCATAAAAAAAACCAATATTAATATGTTGGCACAAAAACAATATTGACTTGTAAGCATAAAACTATTGATTAATAAGCATAAAAAGGTATTAATTCGTTATCGAAACAGTATAGATATGTAAGCATTCCATGATAAATCTGCCTACCTGTTAATGTAATTCTCTGTTTTATCAAAGCTTTTCTAAATCTTTGTCTCACCACTTTACATTTTGCGACAACCTATGGTTAGACAACTCGCTATATGTTTACCTGAATCTCAAAGGATTCAATTTATATGTAACGTTTACGTGATATCAAAAGAATGCATACAATTATGAATTAAAAATTATAAATGACAAAAATTAATGTTGTCCCATTTTCCAGTTCATGGACTTCCTGGAGAGCGAGTACCTGGAGGAACAGGTGGACGCTATCAAGGAAATCTCAGACCACATCACCAACCTGAAGCGCGTTGGTTCCGGCCTTGGCGAGTACTTGTACGACAAAGAGTCCCTGGAGTAAACCCTGGATACAACCAAGATAAATACCGGACATCTATTGACAAGTGTCAACAACGTGTTAACAGCAACAGTATAATAACAATACAGCAGTATGTGTTGGTTAAAAGAAACAATTTACAACTTCATTTGGTGAACAAATAAAAGAATTATGTTTTGGTTAAAAGAAACAATTTACAACTTCATTTGGTGAAAAAATAAAAGAAGATACCAGGGTAATAAAAAATGTGAAACACAATAAAAAAAATGCAAGATACTATCATTGCTTATTGTCTTACTTTAGTTACCAGACTTAATGATTGTAAGATGCCATTGCATTTTATCAAAGTCTTTTCTAATAGATGCATAATATCATGGTAATCACATCACAATACTGTGGCCATTCTCGCTGGGTGTCACATTCGAAATTTCCTCCACCGTAGGTTTTGTTGTAATTGGTGTTCATTGTGAACAACACCTTCCTATTCAGGGGGAAATCACTGGCAAATACTGGTAACAGTGCGTATTTATTGTCAAAGTTTTCGTGAAATATGTTCACGTGCACAGTTCTTTGTGTCATAGCCCTAGTTTCATCTGGCCCTGACACCAGACTTAGACATTTTGACAGACTATGTAAGTCTGGACTGACATATTACCTGCTATGTAGACTTTACAGTGTCTCCAACTATCATTGTTATTGATTAGGGTACAATGTACATAAAAAATGTCTGATATATCTAGAAAGAGTGATGGTAGATTTAGAACGATTGGTGATCTTAGAGAAATTATATATCATGGAGGCTCAATCATACGTTCAGTTCTCTTCATAGTACCAACTAATTATTCGGGAGAGAACAAAATATGTAAAGAAAATTTGTATCCGTCAACTTTTAATTTAATACGTTAAATGGCGTTAAACAATATGTATATGACCATTTCAGTAAGTGAGTGTGAGATAAACGGTTAAACAAAGACAAAACAGCATAGTGTTAACTTTATTTCTGTCTTAGTAACACAGTTACATTTCAATTACTTCAATTATTTGTTTAGAAACAGAATCCAGACACAAGCCAATGAAGCTTATGATAATCTATGTTCTATATAGATGATGCTAGATAGATGGACAGCACATGATATATATTGAAAACATCAATTAGTGAAAGATTGCAATTGTGACTCACTAAAGCAGTCCACTGATGGGAGCCAACAATGAAACTAACTAGCACAAAGGAGTAAAGTATGAAGGTTGGCAACGAAACTAATAAATACTAGAAATGTTAAAGATAAACGTTCACTATATACAGAATACAGGTTTGCGCAACATCTTTTAAACTCCTTCAGAAGCAGGAAATAAAGTTTACTCGATAACTACCATTTATAAGATGTATCGTGTCTTTTCTACGGTCGCCCACAAGAACCTGTTAAAATGAATCGATTGCTCATATCATTGTGCATTATGGTATACTTTTCTTTGATACACAATGATATGATTTTTCATAATGATTGGTTGGTACATAATGATATGAAAGAAAAGATGCAATAACAACTTTGCTTTTGTATGTTTCTGTACCAATACAACGTTTGATAAGGCTGTCATCACGTACAAAGATTTTATCTCATGGAATGTGTGCAAATACCATTACACCCAGCATCAGTGGCAATCATGATAGTTAAATGAATTGACTCAAACTTGTCAATTAATTTCATTTACAAAATTATGTTTAGCGCTTCGACATGTACAAAAAAAAGGAAATCATTTCAATCGATTTTATCCAATACTTACATCATTCCGCCTTCACTCGCCAAATGAGAAAAGCATCATTAACTCAAAACTTCGATGGGGTCGTCTAATTTAATATATAATCAAAGGATAAAAAGTCTACTCTATATTCTATACTATTTGGCTTTTTATTTTGGATTATAAAACGGTTCTTTTATGAGTATTAAATCAATAACAATATTTAATACTGAGAAAAAAAAATCGAAAATAAACGAACGTCGTTTTACCCTCTATATGGAAGTCCCATTAGGGCTCCAGGATTTGCAGAAATGTATCAAAGTCTGTCTTTCATCAGTGTGATTAATGCACTCGGATTGATGTTTCGGCATTGTGACTATTTTTATAGTACATAATGTAATAAAAGCGACGAGCTTTCACATCTTTGTGTACCATACCACGGTACAGAATGAAATGAAAGCGTGAAATAAAAGTGCTGAGCTTTCATATCATTCTTCTTTTAAATTTTAAAAATTTCGTTTCTAACCTTGATGTGCCATATATAGTACACAAAGAATTGATCTTTCATTTCTGTGTGTACCACGATACACTTTTATGTGGTACACAATGATATCAAAAATTAATTCATTTTGTCCGGCTCTTGTCGGCCATCGTAATTTTCCCTTTTTATAAGCATTTTATTTAAGGTATTTTATTACAAGTGAAAGCTCACGTGCGCCACTTATCTAGTCTTATGATATGCCCGAGGAAGTGCGTGAAGGCAGCTATATATCACATTTCTACATTTGTCGACTAAGAAAATCCAGTAACACCGCGCTAACTCGAACTGGTGGGTACCACGTCAAACATTCGAGGAATACATGTTATTCTACGAATCTAAGGTTCGTCCGATATCGTCATGATCTGTTAATTCAAGAGGGACAATATATCGTAACATGTGGCCAAGAAAAATATCATTTTATAGTTATTATGCCATTTTTTGTTCTGGAAAATGTACAACAGAACAAACAAATGACACATTTGATACTTTCTAAAAGTGGTATATTAGTACTATAAGCGTTGTATAATTTAATCAGTATTTTCCTCAATATTAATCACACTTGTTTTTCCTTCGTGTCGACCACAGCACCAGTGACTAAAGCTGCATGACTAACACAGGAGTAAATGGCAAATATCCAAGTCTTCTCGGATGATTTACGGAAAATTAGCTAAAATTTCATGATACAATGAGCTTATACAGTCAGGTGTCATATCTTAATATGTATATAAGTGGGATAGCAAGCGACACGTACAGGGTCAGAGAGTTATAGCCTATAATTACGAGAGTAATGGTGAAGGAAACACGAATGACAAAAAACGTAAAACACTTCCAGGTTTTAAATAATTTTAAAATAAATTCAAGTGTTGATAAATTAAAAAACAGAAAGTTTCCATCAGAAGATGGATTAATTTTTGAATGAAAAAGAAATAATAATATTTATTAACGAAAAAAAGTGAAGAAAACCATTAGGAACGAAATTAATGTTTTTCGTACCGTAGCTTGGAGACAGTGAGTTCGTGTTTGTTCATTTAGGGCCTTATCGCTCACCTGGAAGCTTGAACACAAGTTCGAAGAAACGCTGGTCAACGTTATTTTATGGAAAACCTTAAAAGCTCTTCATTCTATTAGCTACAATTTTCCAACAAAAAAAATCTCTCTTCATTAGACGTTGCTCGAAGATTTTCACACGATAGATTCCTATTGCCTCTAAATGAATTAATGTAATGTAGTTGAACATAAAGCCAAAGACCAAGTATCGTGACTCTCGGCTTCGTGGTTTGTTAGAAGAAATTGTTTGAAAAATGTTATACACTTGACCCCTGTGACCTTGAATGTTGGTCAATGTCATTTATTTTAGCAATCCTGATAACCCTCATCCCAGCAATTTCATTACAATTATTAAATCTCTAGGTCTCATGGTCCTTTAGAAGATGTCGTTAGAATTTCCCACAATTTTTGCTTCCTGTGACCTTGAAACTGCGTCATGACATACATTTGCACATCTGGTCCAAGTCCTAGGAAGTTACAAGCTAAGTTTAACAAGAGGCCCAGAGGGCCTGTATCGCTCACCTGTTTCTTTTGTTACATGAAACTGACATATCGGTAACTACAGACCCAATTTGGTTACTAGTACACAAGACATTTTAACATCCCTTAAACGCTTAAGATATTGTTGTTTGAAGTTTGAAATTGTAATTTTAAAGCTTTTAACCCACGTTGACCTTTGACTCCAGCTAGCACTCAATGTTGACATTTGACCTCATTACTGTAATAAAGAAAAACAAGAGGCCCATGGGCCTTAACGGTCACCTGATATATCTATACAGAGAGTTGATTTTGTTTTTAACATGAACAGAAATATTATTCAAAGTGACAAAAAACAATAAAACCACCTTATTCAATATCTAGCATACAGATTTAAGACTAAAAAGTATTTGAAACTAGCACCTCTGATTCAAAACAAGGAAAATGAGAAAATTTAGCACACTGACTCCTTTGGGCCCCACCCTACAGCCCTTGGGGGTAGGCCTGGCTCAAAATTTTCAAAGTATCAAACTGTCAACTCAAGGTTATAATTCCAATCAAGTTATTAACATGTAATACTCAAAGTTTCATTTGCCATTATGAACCATAATAAAGTTTTTTCCCCCTCCTTCCCCAGGGGGTAAACGTGAGACCCTAGGGTCATTAACCTTAAGACCTTCCATCTATGAAGAGTGTTTGATTCTACCATATCTGGGTATTTGAGAAGAAGATTTTTGAAATTTCAGTCAATTCGAGCCTTTTTGGCCCCACCCATCAGCCCCGGGGGGTCAGTCAGGGCTCATATGTGCATACTATCAAACTGCTACCTAATACTGATAATGCTAAACTAAATTGAATTACTTCCAATGGAAATTAAACAAATGTTGGTCCAAAATGTGATTTCCCTATATAAACTATTGTAAAGTTTACCCCCTTCCCGGGGGGAAACGTGAGACCCCAGGGTCATGAATTTCACAATTTTGGTAAAGCACCTTAAGACCCTTCCATCTATGAAGAGTATTTGATTCTACCATTTCTAGGTCTGGAGAAGAAGATTTTTGAAATTTTAGTAAATTTGACCCTTTTTGGCCCCGCCTCTCAGGCCCCTGGGGTCTTGGGACTAAACCGGCCAAAACTTTTGTTGACCTTTGTCCATGGAAGGTTCCTGCAAAATTTCATTGAAATTGGTTCAGGGTTTTTTGAGAAGAAGTCGAAAATGAAAATTGTTTACGGACGCACGACGAACGACGGACGACGGACGACGGACGATGGACGACGCCGGACAAAAGGCGATCGCAATATGTCACTTGAGACTTTGTTTCAGGTGACCTAAAAATCGCACTGCTGGTCTTCATAACATACCCAAGTACCATGACTCTAGACCAAATGCTTCTTAGGATATCGTCGTTTGCAGTTTTTAACATTTTTTATTCATGTGACCTTGAAAGTAGGTCAAG